GATGAAGATACACAAATTTGTACGCTGATTCCAGCATCTGATGACAAAATTTATTAGCTGAAGAGAGAAAGTGGATGTGATGCTATACTACAGTGCTTAAAGAAATATATTCTGAGAAGTTGGCCAGAAAAGAAACATGGAACCTCAAATCAAAGTGTTTTGGGAATATACAGATGAGTTGACAATGGAAAATGACTTATTTTTCAAAGAAGGGTAATTATTCCTTTATCTATGCAAAAAGATATGTTAAATTTAATTCATGAGGATCATTTTGGGATCAAAAAATGTAAGAAATGAGCTAGATGTGTCTTGTTTTGAACAAGCAGTTAGAAGATAAAATTTCAAATTGTCCTATATGTAATGACTAGCAGAATATGTCATTACATATAGGAGAATACTCCTATACGTAATGACATAAGAGTACCTGATACCACATGAAGTTCCCAATTTACCTTGGCATAAAGTTGCAACATATTTATTTGATATTAACAAAAATTACTAATTCAGACATCAAACAAAAAAAATCAGCGTTATATTTTCAAATTTTCACAGGACTAGTTTTGATGGTTTTACCGAACCACCATCCTCAGCTGCAAAAATGCAATTTTTGTTTTTTGACTTCTGAACTCGTACTTCTGTTCCACATGTTATTGTGTCTCCATTTGCGTTTTTGCAGCTGATGATGGTGGTTCGGTAAAACCATCGAAACTAGTCCTGTGAAAATTTGAAAATATAACAATATATATAAATAAAATTGATTTTTGTTGTTTGATTTCTGAATTAGTATTTGTTCGGCATGTTCTTATGTCTTAATTAACAAAGATGCAAACTTATTAATTGTAGATTATTATTCCAACTTTTTTGAAATCTCCAAATTACTGGAAACTTAAAGTAAGACAGTGATCAGTTACATGAAATCTCATTTTGCAAGATATCTAATAACAGACGTCAGTTTGCAAGTAAAGAATTTGCAAAGAAATACTGATTTAAACACATAATGAACAATCTATACCAAGGGTGGCCAAGCTCCTTGATAGGCCGAGCCATTTTTCAAAATTTGAAAATTTTCGCAAGCCGCAATTAAATACGTATTTAAAAGGTATGCAAAATAGGTATTAAAAAATTTTTTACAGAAATTATATTTATTGAAAATATATAAACAAAAGTACAAGATATGTGTGCTGAATTTAAATATTAACAAATAAACACATTTATTTTACTTCTCTTGATAATTCTTTAAAATTTGGTGAATAATTGGTGACAGCACTTTTCAGTAATTCTTTGAGATGCTGTTAGTTAATACTGATCAGTGTTTGGATTTCACGAATTTTAATGTGGAATAAAATGATTCACATAAGTACGTTGTTTCGAGTATTGAAATAATTCGACAAGCAGCTTTTTTAATTCAGGATACTTCAATTCAGGTACAAATTTCCAAAATTCAGTAATTGGTGTCGATTTATATTTTAAATGTAGTGCTTGACCTTCTTGCATCTCTATTAATTCTAATTCTCCAGATGCTTTTTGGGTCATAATTATATTGGAAATGGAAAACTCACCTTGAATTATATTAATTTCAAATGGATTGAGAAAAAAATCGAGGCGATGGACGGAAATGAAATTTGTTACAACGCTGCACTTAGTCTTTCATATTTGTTGTCTGTTATTTAAAGACATTTTGAAACACATATGGAACAATAATAATTTTTTATAATAACACAGAAATGAAAAGGAAACTGTGGTACATTTATCGACAGCCACAATAATCCTTCAAAGAGCCGCATGTGGCTCGCAAGCCGCAGGTTGGCCACCCCTGGTCTATATTATCCACAATCGAAAGGATTAGCAAAGTGTTCCATATAAATAGTGAAGAAATTGTTAAAGAAAGCTCAAGCAAATCCTGCTTATCCTTATTTAGTATTGTTAGCTCATAGGAACATTCCAACTAATGAGATGTTAACTCAGCTCAACGACTTATGATTAGAAGAACAAGAATAATTTTTCCTACATCCGAATTACTAAAACCCCAAGTTGTGAAAAACGTAAAAGAAAAAATCAAACAAGAAAGAACTAGGCAGAAGTCATATTATGATCGTCATACAAAAACATTACCATCCATAAGCATAGGTGATTATGTTAGGGTATATCAATATAATCGCTGGAAACTAGTAGTTGCGGAAGACGTATATAAGATGCCTAGATCATATATACTTAGCTCAGGTGGATCAGTATTTAGAAGAAATAGAAAAGACATTAGAGACACTAAAGATAACAGTTCAGCTGTTGAAGAGAATATCAGAGGAACATAAAAAGGGAGTTATTGCACGGAAAACAGATGCAAAAAGATATGATTCCAGATATTCTCAAGGGCAAAGTTTAGAACATCAACTACCAAACTCTTCTAACTCAGAAACACGGAGCGGTGAGCAAAGAACTAGAAGTGGGAGAGTGATTAGAATGCCGGCCAGGTATTTGGATAGATTTTAGACTGTTTAAAAAAAGAGGGAGATAAATTTTAAAACTCTTTAAAAAATAAGGAAGATGTAATATTTAATAATTTGTAAATGGCAATATATAACATTTAATATTTAGTAACTTGCAATTGGCAACACCTGGGACAAATATATGAAAATAGAACTATCCTGGTATTGATGTTCTCTGTAATATAATACATTCTATGATCATAAATAAATAGTTTCTAAAAACAGAAAGTGCACCCTCATTATTTTATACTTTCAACTAAAATCTAACCTCACTGTACTTTCCCGCTTAGCATACAGCATAAAAATTAAAGCCCTTGGTTATTTTTAAAAGAAAGTGTCAAAGCATAATTTCCCAAAAGGTGTTTTCATTGAGGTTCAAGAGAAAGAAGGGATGGACAAAAGCAGTGTGAAATTGCAGATAAGAAATGTTTGGCAAAAGCATCTTGTTGTTGCCTTAAGGAATCCAGAAAGTCTTTTAGTTTGGGACATATTCAAATCCCAACTAATGAACAACACACACAATTTGTTGAAAGATACAGATATGGCTATTATTTCAGGCAGATTAACGCCATTAGTTCAGCATTTAGATGTGTGTAACAATAAAACATTCACAGAAAATTTAAAACAACAGTGAAATATGTGGATGTTAGAAGGTGAAAAAAGCCTTTACAAAAGGCAGTAAATAGGTCATGCCAGTCTAGAGATAGTGTGTGAGTAGATAATAAAAGCATGGAATGAAATTAAATCTCATGTAATTCAAAAGTCATTTAAAAATGTAGTATTTCTAATAATCTAGACGGAATGGAAAACAACTACTTATTTATAGATCAGAGTAACAGTAATGAAGTTGAAACAGAATTTGATGATGGGCCTGAAGATATATATATAGGAACACGGAGCATATTATATGTAGGAACAGGGAGCATATATGACAACCTTTTCATTTTAACCGATAACGGAACTTTTTAAAGTTCATAGCTATGTCATTTCTTTTAAATAAGCAGCACTTAGGTGCACGTAGAAATATAATTTTTTTTATGCTCATTTCTTCCTTATTTTTAAATCTAACATTTTTATATCCGGCAATGTGCACCTGCAAATTTTGATCTTTTTTTCCTATTAAAAGTGCGTGTTACATTACGGAATATATGATAAATATGCATATTTAATTATAATTATAGATATGAACTAATTGTTAATAACAATTACATATATTTATTCAATTTACTATTACATACCATTCATTTAGAATTCTTACCCTCCTTCCCACCTCTTCACAGCAATTACACAGGGTATGGCAGCGTTTATAGCAGCATATTAAAAACACACCATTAGGCAGTAACTGTAATTTATTTATTACCTCTTATGTCAATTAATAGTTAATGGTGTGCCATTTACTAATGTGCAAGTCATTGTCCATTGCATAGATTACTTTTTGAATATGATGCCCCCTGTGCACAACACATTCATTCATAGGCAGCGTTAGAAGCTTGCCATAACTTGGCATAACGTATTCCCTGGGACACTGCTGACGGCAGTTCTGATGCAATCCTTCAACTCAGGAGTGGTGGCACGTGTTCGGAAAAGTTCTTGCTTCAGGTGGCCCAAAGGGAACATGAAAGATCAGGTGAGCGGGCGGCCAGGAAATGTCATCAAAACAGGAAATTACTCTACCTGGAAATGTCTGTCACAAGAAATCCATGCAAATTCTGGCTGTATGCGAGGTCGCTCCGTCTTGTGGAGACCATAATTTTCCACGGCTTCTGGCGTCCCCACACTTTTTTCACTTCTTCCTGGTTTGACACTGCAAACAGAATCTGTTGTTCAAAATGCACTTACCCACCTCACCATGGTCCATCCACCTGGAACTTTCCCATGACATCCCAAGTTGAAATGTTGCTGAAATAGACGCTGTGTAGCAATAACAGAGTAGTTAATCTTGAAATAACTTTCAACAGCAAAGGCAAGATGCTGTGCACTCCATCAACACATATCACTGTCACACACGAAATGGCAGCTCATTAGTACATGAATGCGGCATGAGCTGGCACTCATTCATGCACTACATCATTGTACTACGCAAGTCAAATTATGCTATGAATGCTGCTACACCCTGTATGTTTGTGGACCATGATAACTAATAGGTGATAATGTTAAAATGTTTGAGAAATGCTATCATGTATAAGAAACTGGGGATTAAAATTGTTCCTGAGTATAAAATCTACTTTTTATAACATCGCTGAAGGTCAAATAAACCACCTTTCTCCTGCTTCTGAATTTTTCACATTTAAAATATGTCAGACAGTCCCTTTAAAAAAGAACTCATTTTAAGTTTTGATTCACTTCTCAGAAAATATACTTAAAAAATTGTTCTGAATGGGAAAATATAAACATATAAATTTTAACCATTGAGAAAATACATAAAATATTCATTTTAAATCTTGAATATGTAAAAGTCCTTCAGAAATTATCTTTTTTCACAGAAAAATTTCATAGTTAAAATATTAGCACTCGTACCTGAATCCAAAATTTCAGAGCAACAGTAGGAGGAAGATACTCATTAAATGGCAAATCAAAGGACAATTCAAATTGTTCACCACATACAGCGATATAAGCTAGGGGAGAGAAAAAATATTAATATGATTTCAGGAAGATATATTCTTTAAGCATGTTATCACATAATTTTTCTAAATACAAACAAGGGAATTATTAGACTCACAGAAAATAAAAAGGATAGGTTATAAATCCTACTGATACAATAATAATGGCATAATGAACTCTAATTTAAATTTAATTCAAATTTAATAAAAAATGATCAAACATTAGCACAATCTGTATTAATATATACATTTACATGGATGGACTCATCTGATTTATAAATAGAACCATAATTACATAATACAAAAATTATTTTTTACAAAATTGGACTCTGGATTAAAGTAGAAATCATTTCATTAGTTGAACCATTCAGCAAGTCAAGTTCAGGAAAGGTAAAATTCAAATAGTAATTTTCAATAAGATATGAAGTCAAGTAACATGATAGCTTTATACATATTTTGATGGCAAACTAATAAATATAAGCATAGCTCTACTATGAAAAGTTGGTATGGTACTGTCAGGAACTTGAAAATATGAGGCTGACAGAAAAATTTTTTCCATTTAGAAGTCTTACGAAAACCTCTTCACAAGAGTCTTGAAATTTTGGCTATAGAAGTACCTAAAAAGCAGGTATGAGACAACACACATAGGTACCTCAGGCTATATGCATCTTTTAAACATACGACTAAGTTGTGATATCCTTCTGAATAGAAGAATAGGCCTTTCATGCTTGGCTGTCTGCTGTACAGTCCCAAGCCTCGTCTCATCGCTAGATTGATTGAAATTCAATGCATAATTTTTTTGTTACAGAATTCTGCTATTTAAAAATCCACTGTAATTAATGTTTATTTCAGCATGCAATATATAATTTTCATATATTACTAGAAATAAAAAACAGTATACAATGTAATTTCCTAAGTTAAAGAATTATAAAATATAAGCATAAATTAGAAAATTATGTTCAAATACATTTTAAACCAAATTAACTGCTTTAAGCTGCAGTAATTCAATTGTAATAATTAATATTAAGAAATTGAAAGCAAATTCAATTATCATATTCTGTTCGGTTGGTTAGAAATGAATTAGGAAACGAATTCCTCTGCACAGTTCGAAAGCTACAGCATCAATTAACACAAGTGGGAAACAAAATAATTAAAAACAAATTTTGTTTGCTAAATTAAATTTTAACAAAAATTAGTGAATTTTAAAATTATCCAACAAACCAAACAGCGGAAAAACTAAATTAAAAGCAAACAGGTTTTACATTTCTTAGGACATCTTTTTCAGGAGGTTGGTGTCTCAAAAAATGCAAAAGAAAATTAGCCTGCTTCTGAGCTAATAAATGCACAACCAAGAGCTTCAGTACACAGACAAGTTAAGAAAAAATTTTAATTGAGAAAACTGTGCATTAATCATCCCAAGCAAAACAGCCTAAATTTAAGAAAATGAAAATAAAGTTATAAGTATAAAAAGAATGCATTTTAAAAAATAATTTTAATGTATGAAAAGTTTGCAATATAAAACTTATAAAATAGAGGAATGCAGAAAAGTTTGACAACAGAGCAATCAGTAACTAATAAAAATTTCTTATTTATTAGAAAAATAAATTAATACTAAAAAAATTTTAATCAGACAATTTTTTGAAATCAGTCAGTTTAAGTTATTTTACGAATCTAATAATCATTCAACAGCATCCAATACAGAAAAAAACAACTTAAGCCTAATTGTTTATAATATAATTTAATATATAATTATATAATAAGCAAATAGGATTTAACAACAATTAATCAAATAAATTTAATATTTGTGTACATAAAGTAACCTACTAAAATTAATAAAATTATAACAACTGTTGTAAGAAAAGGGGGATGAAAAAATTTTTACTTATGAACTTCTTACATCCATAACTGGTAACACTACTTTTCTAATAAAACCAGTTAGAATACTCAGTTCTAGTAAATGAAGTAATTGCAGTCTTTTTAACAGAAAATGTATGATACCATGAAAGGAAATAATAGGGGATAACAATAAAAGAAATAATACTATAAAAATTAAAAATATAAATAATAAGTACATTAAACAATAATACTAAGAAAGATAAAAACAAATCAAAAAGAATAAAAAAATAAAATACAAAAATAAGTTAATTTAAAATTTTAACTTAAATAAATTTTAAATAAAACTAAAATGACTTATTTAAACTTAAAAAATGAAAAATAAAACACAATTTTAAAATACAGGATACAGAAAATTAAGAAAAAATAAAAATACATAAATAAATAATTTTAAAAATAAATAACAAGTGCATATATTCTCACATACAATACTCATTTATCAAAAATAAATTTACTCACATACTCATTTATCAAAAATAAATTAATAACATATATAGATATAATAAAAAACTAGAAGTTCAAAAGTTATTATTAAACACATTTTTTTTCAAATTTATTATGAAATTGTAAGACTTTTTTTTAACAAAGTACTTAATTCATCTGCAATTTTTATCATCCAGTCTATACTTCCTAATATTTTTAAGAATAGCCTACCATGCCAATCAACAATTTAACCATGCAAGCCTAGATCGACAAGTGTAATTTAGTACTTGCTTTTTTATAAAATTATGTGGATATTATTACATTTAAGTCTTACAGTTTGAGTTTCTTTAAAAGTTCTTCAACATGGACTTTTTTTAATTCTGGCAGTTTGATTTATTATAATGTTGGCAATATTTTTTTTTGAAAATGTCTATTAATAAGTTTTGTGGTATTTAAATTGAAAAGTCTTGACAACATTTTTATTAAGTTTACCGATTTGGATTTCTAAATAATCTGCTTCTGTTTCCTTAGAATAATTATATTTTAGTTAAACACATTTAGGATAAATGTTACTTTTTAAGCAATTTTTATTATCCTGAGCTTTTTCATTTTAAAACCCTTAAGATCAGACAAAATGAGGCTTCTAATTTTAGAAGGGTTAACAACAAAAACATTTTTTCTCCCTTGGTTTTTCTTCAAAGGAAAAAAATGCAATATTTATGTTTTTGCCTTTCGATCTCAACTATAATTCAGATTCCAGGATTATCTGTTGGTACAGTAAACAAGCTTCAGCACTGAAAAACACCCACTTATTAAGCATAATCCTTATTCCAAATAATAGTGAGTCATCTGTGAAAGGAGGCCCACCAGCGGCCGAGCGGTAAAGTCGCTGAACACTGGTAGTTCGGTCCAAGGTTCGAATCCTGCGAACGGGCTGGCATGGTTGTTTTCGTGGTTTTCCCCATGTGTAACATGTATACGAGCCAGTTTCCCTTAGAAAGTCCTCCACAAAGGCATCCCTCCCCTTAGGCAGATAGCCCTAGTGTGCATTGCCATAATTAAATACACCAACACCATCTGTGAAAGAAAAATGAAACATAACTTACTATTTTCTTGGTGCTGAGATGAGCAATCAATCCAGTTATATTCATTTGCAACAGTTATTAATTCAAACTCCTTTAAAATCAAACTAAAATGCCATGTATAAGGCACAAAATGAAGAATATCAGGACGTGATTTAGAAGCCCAGTCTTCCATAAGAGCTGCAAAATAGTTTAGACCATATATTTAAAAGATGTAAGGCTGATTAAAATACAAAAAGTACTCTATAAATGAAAATAAACATGTTATTGGGTGCTGAATACAATAGAAATATTGTAATTAAAAAATAGAGATTAAAGGTAAAACATCAATGAAAGAGTGAAAAGTCTTAATTACCGTGAAAAAAGTACTTATGAGCATAAATTAGATGCACAGTAGCTTTACATCCTGTCAGACTACAGTTCCATGTTTGATGGTCATTCCATACTTGAGGATATTTAACCCTCACATCAAACTGTAAAGAAAGAATAATTTTAACTAAATAAAAAACTTCTTTTTCACAATAAAAACTTTCTACTACTTTAAGAGAAGTATATTAATTGGAGCTTGTTTCCTTAATGATGACAAAGCACTCAAAGGCTATCTTGTCTAAAGGAAAGGATGCTTTTCTTAAAGACTTTCTAAGGGAAATTCATATTCAGATTACATATGAAAATGCTAAAGCACTCAGTCTATTTACTGAAATTCAAACCAAGGCTGGACTACCAAAGTTCATTTGTTCATTTAGCCACTAGTAGATTCCATGTATATTACTGAAAGAGATGTTATTTTATAACATTTTCCAAAAAAATATATTAATACACACAGAGCACTTAAAATTCAAGCGAATAAATATTAAAAAAAGGGAGTGCATGAAATATATGCAGTCTTCTTTAAATATAAATCTTCATCTCCAATTTTTAGCAATACTTATAAAAAAATTCTGTTAATTTTATGCTTCAAGTAATACAGTTACTTAATGTTATATACATAATCAGCAGCATAAATTTTATTTAAAAATATTTAACAAGAATAGCTGAAATTTCCACAAGAATTAGATATTTAAATGTTTGAAACAGGATTTAAAGAAATTTTAACTTATAAATACATAACATTAAACTTAAAAAAGACAAAATTTTTTGTGATAATTATATATATATAAAAGCACAGACAAAAACTCAAAAGACTATTATCAAAAATAAATTTATGAAAACAACTGTAAATGTTTTGCAGTTATGTAAACGATTGCTATTTTGTGCTGTGAAGTAAAACTTCTTGCAGACATTTTCTGAATCTGCTGAAATGTTTTTAATAGACACAAAGAAAACTAAATAAAATTTTTTAAAAAATTTAAGGATGGCTTCATGATTTTTTTAGATCAGAGAAAAAGTTAAGGAACATGATATTCATCTTCAGGAGTGAACCAAAAATTATGTGAATGACGTCGAAGATACAAGTGTTTCCCAACAAATGACATTCTGATCATATCAACCAATGAAAGAACGTTTTCTCCGTTTCAAAGAGAAACTGAAAAAAGAAATGTATTCAGAAATTTATTAAGAGAAAAGGGAGATTCAAATATACCGAAATGATTACCCAAGCTAATGTAAGAATATACCTGCTTAACCACAGAAACATAGTTAACTGAAAATCGGCGCTGTAAAAATTTAAAGTGGATACTGTAAAAAGAAACACTTCAGAAGTGTTTTAAATAAACAGTATAAATCAGTAAACAGTGTAATCTTTCAATAGAGTTTAATACAGTACCAAATTTATATAAATACTTAGTTACTCTTCTGGAAAAGTATTGTGTTTTGAAAACTGTTCTGAGAATTTTTCATGCATTATCACAAACATTGCAAAATTATGATGTTGCTAAATTTGAATACCGTTTGTTTACCTGCACATTTAACATTCATACACATAGTTATATCACATCATGATCATTTTTGTGATATGACTTTCATATTCAGATCTTCATTCATTGCATAAAAAAAGACATGGTGTGATAAAAATCCTAGTCTTCAGTGCTTTTGTGTTTATGCATTCCTACCTCTGTAGTTCTATCACTAATACTTTCAGACCCTTGAATACAAAAATAACTCCACAAGACTCGATGCTTTTACTTCTTCATAGGCAAATACCTTCCAAGTTATTGAAATCGAGAGGTCAGAATTTTTTCCCGGCCATTAACTAATCTTAATCTTTTTCATTAACGTTAATCAGCAGTCTGAACTGTGGAATACTTTCATAAAGATGGTCTTTCTTCAAAACAGAGCAGAGAGAATTCCAGTTTATTTGGGAAAAGTGTTGCCTTAATTCAAAATATGAATGGCTTTTTATCTTAAAAGAAATGAACCTGAATTTAATTCAAATAATGCCTCAAAACAAAGCACAGTTTTATTCCATGTGTCAGTTCTTGTATAAGGAAGATGATCAAAAACAAATACTGAGACAGACTCGGAGATGAACATCTTTATAACTGCATTCTAGTGGGACTGAGAAAGTACACACTGCAAGTGAACTTTTTTCTTCAATCGCAAAGAAAATTGAATGTCATATTTCAATTTAATATCTCAAATTGTTTTTTGTTATAATTTATTAGATATGTTATTTAAACTATTAACCCTGCAAGCGTTACAAGTTTAGCACTGAAATTTCAAAGTTCCTCAAAATGTCATGAATAAGTTTATGTTTTCTTGATTTTAATTAAAAAATGACTATCTTATTTTGTACCTTGATTCCTTTTCTTCCAATATACATCCAAACCGAAATCAGGTACATTTAAAAGCTAGCAAAAATTTTCATGTATAATGAATATAGAATATAGCCTTCTGTACGGAATTTTCCAGCCGTAACGCTGAGAGGGTTTTAATAAATAATTTATTTATAAGCACATATTTTATGTTTCACAATAAAATTTAAAGTTCTAACTTATAATAATACATCTATATATGTTTATAATCCTAAATAATAATAATATGAAATAGAAATTTAAATTAACTGGTAGTAAGATAGTTTTAAGCAAGTACTCAAAACAGATGTTAAATTTCCAAAGCATCTCACATACTACATAGCTAAATTAAAGATTATAATATTAAAGCAAGATTCAACTCAAAATATAAGGTCTACCAGAAAATTCTAACTGTTTGAAAAGTGAAAGAAAATACACATTTTCATGCCTTAACAACATTTATTGTGCAATGTAATTTCCATTATTACTTATGACATCTTGCTAGTATGGTGGTAAATTTGTAAATGCAATGTTTAAAAAATGTCTTCTCCTTAGAGACAAAGAACTTAAGCAGTGCTTGGCTGACATCTCCTTCAATTTTGAATTTTTTTCTCTTCAAAAAGTTTTGCAAAGGGAGAAAAAAGTAATAATCAGAGGGTGCTAAGTCTGGAGAGTGTAGTGGATGTGGTGAATTTTTCAGCTTAGACATAAAATTTTCTAATGAGTCACCAAAGCAACATGCAGTCTGGCATGATGATGCAGTTATGATGTGCTTCCAATTGAACATCAGCAGCCTCTTTTCTTTGACTTAAATCATCTATTTGCTGACAGTATCTCTTGAAATTCAGCTTTTCATCACATTTCAGAAGCTTGTAATGAATTTGTCCTTGGGCATCCCCTATACAGACAGCATTCTCTTATTCGGACTCAAGATCAGTTTAGAGTTAGATAGAGCAGGTTGTCTGCACTCATAGCATGCTCCTCTAAAAACCGTGTTTTTGTAGATAATCCACTTTTTGTCATGAGTTATCAGCCAGTCTAAGAAGCGTTCATTTTTGTTCTGAGCAGGCAGAGATGTGCATATGATGACTCGCTCATGGAAATTTTTCTAACTTAGTACATGAGGTATCCTTTTGGAATATTTACTGACCAATCCTAGTTTCTGAATATAGTCCAAACGTTTTATTGAGTTAAGCCTTTGTACAATCTCCAATGTTTTTTAAAAAGGATCTTCCTCTAGCATTTTGATAATATGATCATTGATCACATCTATTCATAGCTGCATCTCCAGCAAAAACTTTCACTATATTTCGATATGCCTCTGTTGCATTTCCTTCTTGTTAGAATTTCTACAAAGTAGTATGTCCTAAATGAACTTGTAGCCATGTTTACACAACTGCATCTCACTTAATAATGACAGAAGACAATTTTCTTTCAATTAATTTAGAAGAGCATATGTGTATACATGCAGTGATGAAAAGAAAAAGCCACACATCTTAAATGAACACATGCATGCTGAAACTTGAAACAACGTTATTGGAAAGAGACTTATTTACACCTTATATGTAAAAGTGCTATAATACAAATTGTGCACATATAAATGATGCAAATATACAAGAGAAGGAAATATTTTAGGATCAGTTGTGAAAATGTTTAATGCAGTGCCCAAACATAACATGAAGATTTTAATGGGACATATAAATGTTAAAATAAATTGTCGGCTAAAGATGAAAATGCAAACTGAAGCACATGGAAATCAATATTAGAATGGTGAATTATTTTAGTTACTAGCAATAAGGTTCATTGTCAGGAAAAATACAACACTTGCTAAACCAAATTAATTTTCTCATTCTGATTTTTATCATCCTGTATATGCACATACATACCCAATTTGTTTCACCCTTTCAATTCATTTATACCTGAGACTGCTGCTGGAATGACATATTTATAACTTTTCAGAGAATTGCTTAATTTTAAGTGCAGTGTTTGTTGTGTAAAAAAAACAAGCTCTCTCCAAGTTTTGCAGTTCCTCGTCTGTAATATGCATATTTGGATGAATCAGTGATCAACATTGAAAGATTCATTTGTTAACAATCTTCTTTATAAAATTATAGTGCGAAATGAGAAACAATTTGTGTTGTTATGGCCAAATGATAATTTGGACATTATCAAAATATCACACTTTTGACAACACATTTCATGTGCTAACAACAGTTCACCAACTATGTTGTTCAAATTGTTAACTATAGTCTGAGAGATACATTGGCCATTTTTCTCAGAATAAAAAAGAATACAGCATAAATTTCATGCGTGTTTAAACTAATAAAAATGAAAATGTCAGGTTGTTATTGCTGAGGTGATAACTGAAGTGACAGTACTAGTTAAGTAATAAGTTGTATAGAATTTTACAGACTACATTAAAAGAATACTTTACTTTCTTATACACACACTTATGGGCATTCTTGGAAGGGAGGCAAATCTTATAGACATTTGCAATATTTTCACAAAATCACTGACATGAGAAGGTAAGCAAACATAGCTTTGGATCATTATTTTATGCTGGCAGAATTGAAACTGCCAACATGTATTATGAAATTAAAGAGCAGAAGCATTGCATATGATATCAGGAAATCTAAAGGGGAAAAGTACAGAACATTAACTGAAGCTAAAAAACCAAATCTGGTACCCTGAAAATCAAAGATGGTGATTAAAAAAAAAAACTGGTTTCCCAAATATATTTATAGCAAAATTGTAAATCTTCTAAGTTGCAAAATCAAATAATAAAAATATCACAAGTTTAATACATGCAAATTATTCGAAGAACAAAAGAAAATTTTAAAGGTAACAAAATAAGTAACAGAAATATATGGATGAGAATTATTCCAAATTTAAAATTAGACTTAATGCTGGTTTTGTATAAAAATTCAGAATTTAAAGTTGACAAATGCAAGAGTTCTTTTACTTAAAGGAACAAAAATATTCTTCAATGTATGCCGAAAATATGTCACTTAAATATGCAAAATAAAACACATAACTAATCAAAAAAGAATGCAATCTTCTATCAACGAAATCTGTGATTAAAGGCGGGATTAAGAAATAAAATTTTTAAACCCTTTAAATATTATGAACTCATATTTGCATTCGTTCACAGTGATTCAAAATGCCTATGAGCTCATATATATGCAAATTTCAGGTACATGCAGTTCAAATGCAGGCATATGCAAACCATAGTTCCTACACATAGAATTTAATACCCTGCTTCATTGTCAAAATAAAATTAGACAAATTATTGTTAACCTTGTCATCTTGCCAAAAAAAAAAAATTCTGAAGAATAGCATTTAAATTTGTTGTAACTGCATGATGCTGGTATGGCAGCCTGATTATTGATATACTTTAATGTGATAGCACAAATTAAATATAAAAGATATAATGCATGATTTTTTTAATGTTGATAATGATACAAATTTTATTGAAATGGATTTTGTTAAATGTTTTGCAGTCTTAAATTTTTTTAAGCATTTCTTGCTCAACCTTTCACACACAACATTGTTATAAATAAGCAGCTGCCGGCTCACCTACTTAGCCTATCTAAGATGACTAAACTAGCAGTTTGAGTTAAAAATTTTAAATCCTTTTAGCTGAGAACTTCCAAGTTATGTGTGTGCTCCAAAGCACTCATTTATTATAACAACATGCACGAGAGGCTGCACAAATTTAAGTTGCTTCCAAGGTTAAAGAATGAGAAACTGTGGGTAAAATGGATTCAAATATTAGTGACTACTGAATTAGTCAATAACATTAAAAAATAATACCACCATATATATATATAGAGAGAGAGAGAGAGAGAGTATTCTGAATAGCAAGTCAGTCCATGATGTTACGTATATACTAGATAGAAGAGAGAGAATAACCTGAATACAGAAGCTGTTACTCCTCATCTTTACTTTCTCAATTTCTAAATATAACATTACATCAAATATTTATTTATTCAAATTCTAAGTTCTAAATAATTCTTAAAAGGTAAACTTTTTAATACTTAAATCGTTCCTTTTCATTTAATTTCATGTTTTTGCATCAGAAAATTTTTTGTGCTGATTAAATATTTGTATTTCCACATCAATTTTTAAACCAAAATATTCATAATTCTTATTCATGAATTAGAATAGAAAAAGATACCTCAAGTGTTTCACTTTCTACTAATGATCGATATTGCAAACTTGTTGAAGCTTCAAGATGTAACAGTTGGCCGTTTATTCTAGTAGAATAACCTTCTTCAGTTATACGCCATGGCACCGTAATTTCTAGATAAGATCCTTGCCCAACATTCATATGAACAGCATTTGTTTCCTAAAAAGAACCAGATGAAATATGATCCTGAGGCCTTTTATCTATAAACTTCATTACTTACTTTTAAATCATTACTTTCATATTTTATTAATATTATTAAAAATTATTAGATTATATAATTTAATATTCTTTTTTTATAATTTGCAAGCTATTATTTTTCATTTACAAATTTCATAGCTTTCTATTTAATTTCATTATCATATTGGTAATAACTCTTTTATGAAGGAAAGTCTACTTACATGCAACCCTTGTCCAAAAAAGAAAAAAAAAAGTATCTGCTAAACCATCTGAAAATGTGCAGAAATAAAACAGTTTGTTGCATTACTATACAGACTTTCTAAAACCATTCCTCAAACATATGAATCCTTCCTTTCTGCCCGGTGAGGTTGACTATGTAATTTGGAATTTTAAAGTTTGTTAAAGCTCATGGCCCGGATTCTATTCCCAGTGAAACTATAAGATATTTTCATCATTTTCAGATTATTCAATGCATGTTTGAGACTTGGTGCTTTTCTGCGAACTTGGAAGAACACCCTTGGCATTCCGATACCCAAGGGGGAGCATTTTAGTGTTCCACATGTGAATAACCTAAGGTGTATCTGTTTTCTTTCTTCCCTGGTTAAATGTTTAGAAAAATTAATTACAAACAGAATTACATGATGCACATAAAGAAAATCTCCTTAGTGCTGACCAATATGGTTTCACTGCTTAAAGATGTACTGAAGATGCACTTCTGCATCTAAACTACATCGTATAGAGGGACAAGATGAGAGGTTTATATATTATTCAAATTTCTCTTGATATTGCAGGAGCTTTTGATAATGTATGGTGGCCTGCCATTTTTAATTTATTGAAGGAAATGAAAGTACCTCATAATGTGCTTAATGTTGTTGCTGATTTGATTAGGATAGGACTGTCCAGCTTTTTCTAAATGCCACCTCAAGAATTATCTGACCTCAAAAGGGATGTCCAAAAGGATCTGTTTCTGGTCTCAAGTTTTGGATTATTATTATCACTGATCTTCTGCAGAAATTTGCTGAGTTTATCAATTGTGAAGTTATTGCATTTGCAGATGATTTCTGTTCAAGGAAAGGATATGCGCACTGTTTTTTATCCAGCTCAAAATATTTTAACTTTCATTTGTCAGTGGTCAATAAATTTTAAGCTAAAATTTAACCATGCAAAATCTCAGATGATGTTTATTGGTAGAAGTAATATTACTTATGATAGATATCAATTGATTTTAAATTATAATTCCCTTGAGAAGATGAATGAAATTAAACATTTAGGTGTTCTGTTTGATAGAAAATTTAGTTGGAGAAGGCACATTACCTACATTTCTAATAAATGTGAGAGACTTCAGGGTGGACTAAATCGAATTGCATGCAATAGTTTTCATGTTAAATCCAATGCTAGCGCAACTATTTATGAACAAGGTATTGTTCCATTTATTTTATATGGCTGTAGAGCTTGGGGACTGTCTCTAAAAAGGAAGATTAATTCTAAACATCTGCTTCAAGTCCAAAGGTGAATTCTGTTACATGTTTTAAGGGTTACTGAACTATTAGTTATAATTTGTTTTCACTACTGCTGGATTTTCCTTGTTGGATATGTTGACCTAGCATTATATAGGTTACAACTATAGCCTTTCTAATTTCTTTAGTTTTCACTTTGATTATCTAATGTCCTTCCTTGTCTGCTCTTCTTCACCCATCTGTACAACAACCAGCACAAATTTTGGATAGTACGGATATTGATGAGTAGGAGTACAAACGGATTAAGAACCCTAAAGATATTTAAATATTAATTATTTTATCTAACAGTAATATTAAAAACAACAAATTAAAATTTAAGTAAACTCGCTGAAAATATCATTATTGTAATTTTAATTTCAAACTGTTGCTATGGTTACAATTTTCCTTAAAAAAAAGTGTTTATAAAAATGAAAGTTGATGGACAGATTTAACATCTGTTCAAGTCCTCAGAAGGAGTAAATAATTGTAAATATTTATTGTAATAAAATTTTCCATTAGTAACAACATTGTTTTATTTCTTGTGTGTCATCTTTATTTGGTGACCACAAAATTGGTGACCCAGTGAACAAACACAAAAGATGCCGAAAACAGATGAAACTGAAGGTTTAACAAATGTATCACCTGAACTAAAACAAGGTAAGCATTAAAATTCCTCCTTTCTGGATCGATAAACCTGCACCCTGGTTTTTTTCAAACTTAAGCATAATTTAAAATTTTGGGTATAAAAGCTGATGTTCGAATGCAGAAATTAATTACTGGCATTTAGCTCGGAAACTTGAAACCAAGCCAACTTTTGCAAAAATTAACATCCCTTGCTACAATCACATATCAGAAAATCTGATTAAAATGTCGTGGCTTGAAAAATTACCAGGAACAATATGAAGAAAAATTATAGGAAGTTTAACTAAAAATGCAAAGATAAAAATTATTGGAAGGTTAATTTTAAAATTTAAAGTAAGCAAAAAAAATGAAAAACATACTGTTAGTAAGCAAAGAAGATATTTCAAAACTTACTATAATGGCAGATAAAATAAACAATACGAATTATACAGAAATATTTGATGTGCATAATAAGCCCACAAAGGAAACTGTCCAAATCAGCAAAGCAACACATGAACTGTTGAACAGAATTCAATTTTTGGAATAACAAATGGCAAAATTAAGTGTTGAAAAAAATGTCAGATCAAGAGCAAAATATAATAACCCTCGCTCAAGTAGTCGATCTAGAACCCCCTACAATGCTAATGGAAAATACTGTCATTTTCATTTTTAATTTGGAAATAAATGCAAACCATAAAAATGTCAAGCACCATGTCAATGGAAAAAATAAATAAATAAACAAAAATCAGGAAAACTAGATGTTGCAGTAGATTTGGCAACAAGCTCTACTGCAAACATAAAGGATTGTTGCAAATTTTGTTTATTTATAAAAGGAAAAAAAAATCAAATTTGCCATTCCTCCTCGTTGATAATGGGGCCAATGTCACTATAATTCCGGCTTCACCTACAGATAAAACTTTTGACTTTAAATTATATGCCACAAATGGTTCAGAAATTGAAACATATAGAATTGAAATTCTGAATCTTGACTTAGAATTACAAAAAGATTTCCTGTTTCCCTTTATAAAAGCAAAAGTAAGCAAAGGAATATTCAGAGCAGATTTTTTGAAGAAATTCAATTTACTTACTGATCTGAAAGAACAACAATTAATTGATAGAGAAACAAAGTTTTGCATTAAATAGGAGACATTTCTTCAATATCTTTAAGTAATAGTATACGCACATTAAACAAGTCAAATAAAAATATTCAAATCTGTTTTCTAAATATCCTGACATAATTAAGACAAATTTACTAGTTTCAAATACAAAGCATGACGTCAAACACTGTATAGTAACTGAAGGTCAACCTGTGCATTTAAAAGCTCGCCAACTTGACCCAAAACACCTAGAAATAACTAAGAAAGAATTTAAATTCATGTTGGATAATGAAATAATTCATCCTTCTAACTCACAATGGTCATATGGTGATGAAAAATGTCGGCCCATATTGTCCACACAGAGATTATAAGGAAATTAAAAATCCCAGACAGTGCCTGATATATACCAGATATCAAGAATTGAAGATTTTCACCGCATTAAAAAGATGCCAAATTGTTTTCTAAAATTATCTCTTTAAAGCTTATTATCAAATACCAGTAGCAGAAGAGGATAAAGGTAAGACTGCAATAATAACCGCATTTGGCTTGTATGAATTTAATGTTATGAGTTTTGGTTTGAAAAATGCACCTTCAACATTTCAAAGATTCATCCATGACATTTTTAGAGATTTAAATTTCATCCTTGCTTATTTAGATGACGTACTGATAGCATCACCTAATGATGAACAGCATAAGAAACATCTCAATCTAGTTTCTGAATGACTAAACAAATATGGCTTAAGAATAAACTTGTCAAAATAAACTTTTGAGGAACAAAATGTAGAATTTTTAGGGTATTTGATTATACCCGAAGCTTTTCATCCATTACCTCAAAAAGTAGAAGCTACAATGAATTACTAAACAACCAAAGCCAACCATAAACTATGAACATTTCTTGCCATGATAAACTTTTCTCGTAATTACTTAAAAGATGCTGCAAAAACCAAGCTATTTTACATGACTATCTGAAAGGTTCAAAGAAAAAAAGACAAAAGAAAAAATTCAATAGACATAAGAGGAATTAAAGGAATTTGCATAATGTAAGCAAGATCTTGCGATTCCTGCATTGCTATTCGACCCGAATTCTGAATTACCTCTAGCACTGTTTACAGATGATTCAGATTCAGCTATTGGATCAGTTTTACAAAATTACGACAAAAATGGATGCAAGCCAATAGCATTCTTTTCTAAAAAAACTCAATACTGCACAACAAAATTATAACACGTATTATCGTGAATTACTTGGAATTTACATGTCTATAAAACATTTTAAACATCTTTTAGAAGGAAGAAATTTTACCAATCACACCTTTCAACAAAATCCAGACAAAGCTTTACTCAGACAATGCAAACAATTACAATATATTTCACAGTCACAGTTTATTTAGTTAATATTAAAGGTGAAAATAATATAACTAACACATTATCAAGAATAGAAGAAATAACATAAATTAATTATGATGAAATAGCAGAAAGCCAAACTAATAGTTAAAAATTCAAATATTTACAAAATTCAACTTCATTAAAATTTCAACAATATTCAGGAAAAAATTTATGGTGAGACACTTCAGCCACAATCATTAGGCCGTACATACCAAAGAAATATCGAAAGAAAATACTTATTCACCTTCACGGATTTTCACATCCATAATCATCAGTAAAGCTTACAACTTCAAAATTCAATTCGGACGAACATAAAAAAAGACATATAACAATGGCTCGAGCATGTATTTCCTGTCAGAAAAACAAAGTTTCTCACCACACAAAATGAATTTTCAGAAAATATCAAGAACCTACTAAAGGATTTAAAAAAATTCATATCGACATAATAAAATGGAAATGTTGAAATAATTCCATTAAGTAATATAACCATCACCAAAGCTTTCTACAACAGTTGGATTACAAGATTTGGAACACACTATAAAATAGTAACAGACCCTGGAGCACAATTTTCGTCCAGAAGATTTAAGAACTCATCACGAATCTGTGGTATCAAGCATAATCATATAACAGCCTACCATCTACAGTGCAATGGCAAAATACAATGACAGGTCACTCAAAGCAGCATTAAAAGCCATAAAAGCCACAAAAGCCTAGCCTGGAGTGAACCAACTGTCCTCTTAAGATTACAATCTGCAATACAAGAAGATACTAATCATACAATAGCAGAAATGGTTTATGGACAACCTATAAAACTCCCTGGTTAATTTTTAACAGAAACTTCTATTCATACAACACCAGAAGCATTCGTAAATAATCTTAAAATGGAATTCATCAGACCACGACCATCACATCACAAAACCTCACGAAATGTTTTCGTTCATGAGGACTTAAAAACATGCTCTTGCGTGTTTCTGAGAGAACACAGAGTAAGTCACTCACTCGGCCCAAGGCGATATTTTCCGGAGTACCTTTGCAAATTAATGCAATTACCTCCACAACTTCGTTAAGAAAACTGAAGTAATTAAGAAGAAGCAATGGCTGAAGAGAATCGAAAAAAACCGTTAAGGGTTTAACAAAAGAGAAGTGAATAAGGAGTCACTCACTCGGTGTTTCTGAGAGAACACAAAGTAAGTCACTCACTCGAACCTCCTTATGAAGGACCATTTATTGTGACTGAATGGACAGCAAAATATTCCACTATTAAAATAAAAGGAAAAGGGAAAAAAAGTCAATATAACAATTCATAGATAAAAACCAGCCTTTATCCTAAAAAAAAAAAAAAAAGAAGACTTTCTCCATATTAAAGAGGATATGCTGAAAGCAAAGGAAGAAAATGCACCAACTATTTGAACATTAATAATTTTATCTAAAAGTAATATTAAAAACAATGAATTAAAATATCATTATCGTAATTTTAATTTCAAATGGTTTTTATGGTGACAATATTCAAGAAAAAAAAACATTGTTTATAAAAACGTAAGTTGATGGATGGATTTAACATATGTTAAAGCCCTCGGAAGGAGTAAATAATTATAAATATTTATTGTAATAAAATTGTTCCATTAGTATCAATACTGTTTTATTTTTTGTGTGTCATCATTATTTGATGACCACAGATGAAAACGCTTTCTTAATTGTTTGCTACATGGATGGTAGTAGAATTGATGGCAGAGTTAGGTCTGGCTTAGGTCATCTTTGAGAATAGTGTTGAAATTGAGTACCACCAATTTTGCATTAGAAATGAATGTATTGTTTATATTTTTGAGCTTCTCCATATTAACCTTGCAGAGACAAGGCTGATACAGAGGTATTTTCTTTAAGCAGTAGAGATGAAAAATGAGCAATGCCCTCGCCGGGACTCGAACCTCGGAGCTCTCAAATACATGCCGAGTGTGCTGGCCATTACACCACGAAGGCATGCTATGAAGGTGGGAGAAATATCTTATATACTCTCCCTTTTAAAGGGTGACTAGGGATTAGGGTACCCAAGTGCCAAATTCTGGTGGTGAAGAATCTTCTTTCACCACCTTTTAGTTCAGGCGCCACTGTAAAGACATTCGGTCATTTTGAAGCAGGAGACATGAAAAATGAGCAATACCCTTGAACCACAGACCGCTCAAATATGCGTCGAGTGTGCTGACCATTACACCTCAAAGGCATGCTAAGAAGGCGGAAGAAATACCTTATAACCTTACAATTAAGTAGATACTAAATCAGGATGGACATGTTTTCAGCTATTTAATCTGCACAGATTCTCTCACCTCCCTCGAGTCCCTAAAAATATCTCATCATGCAATGATATTATTGTTAATATATAGCAGTCCCTTGGGGATCTACTGAAGAAGGGTGTTTCAGTGTTTTTTACATTTGTTAATGATCATACCAGGATTTATGGAAACCAGAGAGCCGATTGCCTTGTTACGAATGCAATTAAAATTATATTAATGTTGAAGCAAATATTCCAAAACTGTATTTTAAAAAACTGTTTAAAGCAAAATGATTGAGCAATGGAATTATGACTATATCACTTCTGATAGGGAGATATTACAAGAAAGTTCTTTCCAACTATCTTTGAAGGATTGAAAAAATAAGTATTTATTACTCAATTTTAATATTACGCAATTTCTGTCTCGGCATGACAGGTTTAATGTTTATCTTGAACAGTTTAACCCCTTTACTGCTGCAGAAAATGTACAAGATTTACTTTCCAGTGCCACCATTTTTTACACAGACGCGTGTAGTTATGCGATATATTAGGGGGAAAATAAGTGCATGTTTTGCTGTGTAAAAACTGTTTACTTTCACAAAATAAAGAATAAAAGAAAAAATTAAAATACAAAATTTAATGTTTAGAGCAAAAGCATAATAAAAAAAGATGCAAGTATACGTAACCCTCGTATAACACAGTAGATAGGTTCCTAGAAAATGCTGTGTTGTGCGAAACTGTGTTGTTTGAGACCCAGAGCTAGTATAAAAAGGGGGATTACGTTCCGAAAACTTATTAAAAAAACAAATATTTTTTTAATTATACATAAACAACTTAATTTTTATTAAAAATATATATGTAATATAAAAAAACTCAGAAGTAACTGAAGAGCACAGTTGTAATACGAGTATATTCAGGAGCAGGAATTTTGATTGCAGAGAAATGTTGATCCACCATGACTAAGAAATTGGAGGCAAAGGCAGATTAAATCTTCAGACTTATTTTCAGCTCAGCAACATGTTGCAGTTACACACAAGTCGGCACATTAAATGTGCCTGTGCCAAAAGGCTTACGTTTTTGATAATTTTGTAGCAAGAAAGCAGAGCAGACACACAACAGTGTAGCTAGGCTAAAGCATGGAAAGCAAGTGCGTAATGTTCAGGATGAAATCTCAAGTCAGTTAGTTTTGGTTAGTTTAGTTAGTCAGTTAGTTTTAGTCACTGAGTTAGTTTTGGTTCTTGAAGCATTCTGATTAGGAATTTAATATTGCTCTAAAATTACTATTGGATGGTTAAATCCCATTTACATCATCATAATTACGTAAGAATCATACGACATAGAACAGTCTCGAAATGACGCAGTGCAGAGAGGGGTTACTATTTTTAGAATAGAGAAGGGAAATTTAGGTTTCTAATTTAATCTTTAACATAATCTTTTTATTTTCTTATATATATATATGTATGTACAACATAAAACCAAAAATATTACATATTATAATTTCACGCGACTTTAGTTTAATAAATTTCTTCATTGTCATTGCTCAGTATAATCAACAACAGAGGACGTTTTTACGGTGGACTGAGATTGCTTTCACTTTCAGAATTTCTTTCTTCATTTAAAATTCTGGCATTTAAGTCCCTCTTTAAAAAATTTGTAATTTTACTTTGCTTACTAGTTCTTACCGGGTCATTTTAAATTTCTCGATATAGAGCTAGACAGTTTTACAGCTCCATTTTGAATTTTCCGCGTATTTCAGCGGAAAGGTCTGCATTCAAGAAAAATAATTTATAATCCATTTACTAATTTACTGCCACCAGCTGATTAACAGGCTATTTTTTAAATATTTAATTTCTATGAACGTTTTATGATAGTCATGAATTCTGAAAGTAATTTTTCAAACTAGTAAGCATATTGTGCACAATATGAAGCCTACGATTGAATAGAAGCTTATTAAAATAAGTTCAAAAACTGTTCTCTGTTCCTACAATTTCTCAGTTTCTAGATTTTCTCTAAACCTGTCACAAGAGACTTATGAACAACTTCCTTGAATGTTTTAATGAATCTCCTACTGCTTATTCCTCATCCACTGACACTACTTTAGGTGTGAAGGATATGGCTCAGTGAGTATTCTTCAAAGATATGACTCCACATCGCAAAAGCAAAACTTTATTAACACAACTATTCATTAAAACAGAAAAACTTCTACACGAATACTCAACCATTCCTTGCACTCGAGATAAGGGCAAATGTAAGTAAGTTCGCTGGTCCTGCCTGCAATTATTACGAAAACAACATTACATCAGCTGGTGATGTGCACAGCAGAATATGCCACAGAGTATCCCCCAGTGACACAGTCACGACATAAAAGGGGTTGATTGCAAAATTCCAATTTAAGATATACACATTCAAATAAAAGTTATACTTTAAAATGTACATAGAAAACACAAGAAATACAAAAATACGAACAGTGATATACAAGTAATAATATACTTAAATTCTAAATGAAATATATAACAGTACAATGCATTTCATAATTTAAAAAAAATAATGGAGAGTTAATGAAATAAGAGTTTTAAGCAACTCTCAAATGCATGCAAAAGAAATTAATCAAAGTATTTATATACTGTAACTTTTGCAGCAAACCACAAGAGAAAAAGTATTCAATTATATTACAGTGATAAGTTTTTTGGGAAAATGAACATGACGTCCACTACAAGTAATTACTTGTTTTGAAGCAATGTTTGAGTCTCCACAGACTTTCTGATGTGGAATCTGAGGAATTAAAGGTGTATCTATATGTTCTGAAAATATATATGCTGGTTTTAAGTGATCAACTGAAACTGTAATCTTTTTATCATTTATCTCAATAATAAAATTTTTGTCCATTCGTTTAACAATGGCATGAGGCCAGTGAGTAATTTCCAGATTTCCTTGGTGCTGCTTTCCCCACATCATTCACTAAGGGCAGTTTTCAGGTCTTTGCAAGAAGAATTTGTGCATTCCTGAAGTATGATATCTCGAACCAAAGACGCAATCTCCAGCAGCAAATTAGTGATACAACAGTCAAATTTCTTTTTGTGATCAGTAACAGGCTTGGGTGCGGCTAAGTAAAAGTTGATTCCCACATAGCAAACCACAATGCTAGGTCAATAGGATTGTAAATTGATATCTTCATGGTTACTGTTTCTTCCATGGCAGTGCTACAGCGAAGGAAACTAAAGTCTTGAAACAACCAAGCTTTGAACGAACAACCAATATGAAGTTTCATACGTGTAGATGGGTCGCCATTCTAAGTGTGAAGGATATAGATCGGTGAATATTCTTCGAAGACATGACTCCACATCGCTAATAACACAACTATTCATTAAAACAGAAAAACTTCTACACGAATACTCGAACATTCTTTGCACTTGAGATAAAGGCAATATGAGTAAGTCTGCTGGGAACGCCTGCGGTTATTATGAAAACAAAATGACGTCATCTGGCTGCATGCGTAGCCGAACAAGTCACACTACCAAGTATAATTAACTGCATCCCACTTAGCTGAAGTGAGCCAAAGCAGCGTGATGGGGGTAATACCACTACTCAACTAATAATGACATGGATCTTTACGCATGATCAGGGTTCATAGACACATTTTAGTTAAAAAAATAAGCACCTATAAGCCCTTTTCAAGCACATTTTAAGAAAAAAAAATAAGTACCTGTCTAATTACATCATACACAACTGCATAACCTTAAAAATTAGACTTGTAATTTAAAATATGAGAAATGAAGTACTTATTAAGAGAGAATAAGCATTACCTTAACCATGGAAAACAATTACTTTTTTTTTAAATTTTAAATAATAGTTCAATTTACAGAACTAGTTTATAATGAGAGGAAAAAAAACCATGAAGAACTAAACTATATTACAAGATTTAATGATGAAATTTCAGTTCAAAATAGAGAAGATAAATAATAATAAGTCATATTTATTGTATTCGCTTGGAACCTAATAATAAATACAATTTATTTTTTCACTAATATTGATATTTAAATAATTTAAATCTAAATTCTGAACATTTTCTAAATTTTCACTGTATATCAGTTTTTTCTTAACAGATATTGCAAGCAAAGTAATTTAAGTAAAAAAGAGAAACATTTCTGAAATCAGAAGACAGAAATTTGCTCCATGCAGTCATCTTTAACAGTAAAAGCTTAACTAACCCGCATACTTGGAAATTGACGAATATTCGGACAGTTGAGCGTTACTTGAAGGAGCGGATGGGGGAGTAGACTGTAGCCGCTCTTTAGATTTTTCCGCTAAATAAATGCTTTTGACATTTCAATAAGTGGATCATATAAAAAAAACCAACGGAACTAAAAAATATTCTGCTTAGCAAGCACAGTAAAACTCTTTTAAGTGTTCATAAACAAATCTCGAACTGAACATCAAATTAATTATCTGTGCAAAACATCGCAAATGTTATTGTGCAATACGTGCACTGTAATTCTTCCCTACATGATATTACGCAATCGGAATCAACAACTGCCGGTATTCGGAGAATAAAGAACTAAATAACTGGTGTTTTTCATTCTAATTTACAACAGACGGTGTTAAATTTCCGAAGCAGAATCATTCCTCGCTTGGGTTGGTAGACCGCAGAACTTTTAGTCCTATTCAATTCAGATTGGAAAGTGACCAAAAAAAAAAGGGTCTGCTGCTTGTTTTGCAGCGAACTGTAACAGTTTCAATATTCAAGATTTTGCGGAGAAAGGGGAGACCTCTCAACCTTCGTACTGTATAATGTATTGGCCAAAAAAATGAAATTATTTTGACTATTCGATTACTTTCCCTTTATTTAAGCCATTCCGAATATTATTCCTTAGAAAGCTAATCTGTGTTAAAACACAACCATTTTTGGAAGTTTACTATACTTCAGCAGTTACTGCAACTATGTTATTATAAACATTCATACATATGCTCATAATATAAGCATAACGATCATAATAAACATGAATATGAACTTACCAAGCAGAACGAGAATGCAAATTTTTAAGATCTTGATAGAAATTCAAATGTATGTAGTATTTCGGTGGGAGGAAAAGAATGCCGAATGTAGCGGAATTTTCTACTGCTTTCGCAATTATAAATATTCATACATATGCTCATAATATAAGCATAACGATCATAATAAACATGAATATGAACTGACCAAGCAGAATGAGAATGCAAATTTTTAAGATCTTGATAGAAATTCAAATGTATGTAGTATTTCGGTGGGAGGAAAAGAATGCCGAATGTAGCGGAATTTTCTACTGCTTTCGCAATTCTTTGACGAATAGAGCGATAGGCACCTGTCTGTACTCTTCGTGCACACCAAAGGTTGTGTTAATGCAGAGAAAGAGGGAAAAGCTATTTCCGGGAGTATGACTCGCCATCTGACATTCCATATTAGGAAGAAAAATTGTTTATTTAGTTTCGGCTTTTATACGGGGAAAAAAGCGTGTTCATTAAAAAAATAATAATAATAATAATAATAATAATAAAATAAGGGCTTTAAAGAAAAAGTAAGCACCTATAAGAGCCTTTATATTTTATTTTCAAATATAAGTACTTATAAGCACTTATAAGGACCGCTACGAACCCTGATGATAAATATGTAGGCAGTTTTTCACCATTTGAAGCTGCAGTAACATCTCACAATGAGCCCCAGCCTCTAAAGGGAAGCCATGTGGCAGGAAAAGCTGAAAGCAGATGAAAAGAACAGAAGATGAGAAGAAAGATCAGTACTCCATGTTGAACTAGGTGGTCACACATACTGACCACGGTGATATCCAGAGGGGTATGGTATCTTGGTATGTCACACCTATATTCACAAAGAGTGAGCCCATGAGCACCGTTCTACTCCAAGTGAGACACAATCATTCAAATACATACTATGAATCTTTGTCAAAAAAATAACTAAACAATTTCTTCCAAGACTACTATCACATGAAGCATATAATCATGGTAGAAAAAAAAAAAAAAAGAAAAAAAGATGAAGCTACTGAGAATTAGGTTTGGAATAAACTACACGTACTAAGGAGTAACCAAAACAGGATTCAAAGACTGCACTTCTCTCTTACATTTTAAAACTACATAAGAATAAATCAAGCACATATTCAGTTCTTTCTTAAGCATTGCTGGTTTTCTTAAGCATGTAAATATTGAATGAATAGCAAATGCTTACTTATTCACATTTTTTAGAGTGAAAGTAAGAGTTTTTTAGAGTAAGGATTTTTCAGAAAATAAAAAAACAACATAAATATATACAATTACTGACATATTTCTTCACTCTTTTGAAAACTACAGAAAAAGTATCAGATGAGAGCAATTTGTTGATTAAACAATCAATCTCAAAACCAAACAAAAGAACAAGAAATTGAATGTCTCTTGAAATATTTTTTTGTAAATGTAAGATAAACTAATGATAAAGGATTCATGCCTCTCCATTTCGTGAGCTTAATATTTTAAATAAGAAAGGCATACTTAACTACACTGTAATTATTTCAATGCTTAGCGCTGCATTAACAGAAAGACTATTACACAAGCAAGCTACCTATACTTCTTTCACCAAATTTGATATAAAACAAAAATTAATTTAACTTGCATACTTTATTATAAAGTTCTATTCACTTTTTCCCCAGTTTTATCTACGCACTAATTAAAGTAAACAACTTAGTAATTATTTCTTTGCTATTTCTTTTAAAAGGCACAGCTGACACCGTTTCACACTCCAAAATATGTAGCTTTAGCAATATAAGAATTCCTCCACATGACAGGCAACCTTCAGCATCATTCTGACTCATCACAAACAACATCCTGGGGCTGACATACTAAGCAAAAATGTTATAACACCCACATTATGCATATCCAACTAATTATTAATATTAGAACTATTGATAATTAACCCAGGCAGCATGCATTCGTAAATTGCACGAGAAAAATACGTGCAATTTACGAATGGCCTTTCGTATAAAAAACGTTCAAGTTGAACGTAAAAATATCATAAAAAGTGTCCAGTGGCAATTACTAAATATTTACGTATATTTTTACGTTAGACTATACCTAACTTTTACATAAAATTTAGGTATATTTACATGAGAGACTGCTGTTCATTCGCAACTTTTACGTATAATATACGTAAATTTCAGGGATTTACTAATGTAAAAATTTCAAGGATTTACTAACATACTGTAACGTAAAAATATACGTAAATATTTAGTAATTGCCAATGGACACTTTTTTATGATATTTTTACGTTCAACTTGAACGTTTTTTATATGAAAGGCCATTCGTAAATTGCACGTATTTTTCTCGTGCAATTTATGTATATTTATCGCATATACATAAATCTCAATTTTTTGCTTCACGTATGTGTATATATTTAGTAAAAATTTACGTAAATTTCCCCGACTTTTTACTGTATATAAACGTATATATTAGAAAGTAAATTTAAGGTAGATATTCCCCATATTTTATGGTACAAAAATGTATATGACATTTTTGTACCATAAATTAACGTATGGGGATTTGATAGAAATTAACGTAGATATTCCCTGTATTTTACGGTACAAAAACGTATGTATTTGATAGTACTTGACCTAAATCTTCCCTATGTTTTCTTTGCATATGCGAATGACTTTGGTAAAAATTTAATTCCCATGTCTTCTCCTCTTTACTGTGTATAAATGCACATTTTTTGGTAAAAATTTTTGCATAAATCTCCAATTACCTTTTCACTGCATTTTTCGTAAAATGTACTTATTTTAATCTCATATTTTTTATATAAATCTATGCAAAAACTTTCTGCATGCTATGATTAAAAGGTAAAATAATTTTTATATGAAATTCTTACATATCTGCCTTTTAGTTATGTGCACCAATATGGAATATATATAACTGGAAAATTTAAATGCACTTGTAAA